TGGAGGCCAATGCTAGTAGGTTGGAGGCCAATGCTAGTAGGGTGGAGGCCAATGCTAGTAGGTTGGAGGCCAATGCTAGTAGGGTGGAGGCGAGGCCAATGCTAATAGGTTGGAGGCTGTTGCTAGCAGGTTGGAGGCCTTGCTAGCAGGTTGGAGGCCATTGATAGTAGGTTATAGCGCGTTTCGTGACATGTCGCCAGACTCCAATCTGTCGATCTCGCCGAGGTGCTGCATGCAGCCCCAGCGCCCTCAAAGGCATGGAAAGTGTGGCTCCATGTTTGCCTAGAGCCACTAGTTTTCTACACACTGACTCACTAACATGGAAGTGGATAATGGCTCTTGGAAGAGCAGTTGCATGGCTTGAAACGCCCAAACAAAGAAGGCGGCTGTGAAGAGACAACGTTATTTCTTGGGTTCCAGAGGTCTTTTCAGTTGCACGCTCGCGACCCACGATTCCACTTCAGAATTCGCACAAGGTCCATCCAGGATTCAACGTCACGCAACACGTCGTTCACCGCCGTGAACAGAAGTCCCAGTTTCTGTGTCCTCGTGAGGCTTCTGCGTCCTTTGCCCATCACTGTCAGCCCAGATTTATGACAAAGCAGGGGACTGGTCTTCTCTTCCACTGCAACGCCATCAGCCGCTTTGGACTCGTAGCGTCCTTGCTAATAAGAACGCGAGGCACCTTGCTACTAGTTTCTTGTTCCTAGTCTACAAGGACGCTACGAACGGGGTTCCTGGTCGTATGCTACTAGGAGCGATCGGACGCCACGAACGGGGCTACTAGGTGGCTGTGGCTTTTTGTAGCTAACTTGTAGATGTTATAACTTAGTTATCGAACTTATGCATAGGTGGACTTATAGGAGTTAAAACCTAGGTTATAAGTAGGACTTAAGTAGGCCTTGGCTTTTTCAATCATATTTTTTTGATTCGTTCATTTTACGCAAGAACTCCCTTTTTTTTCGACTCGCGAAACGTTTTCAGTGCAAACACAGGAGGAGATTCTTGTCATCATCCCAGCGCCACCACATTGCTACGCAATATGTGTTGTTGATTTTGGGTTTATACCAAGATCTGCAATGCAGTCTGCGCCACAGACTGCCATATGGTAAGGAGGTAGAGTCACCTTCCACAATGTTCTCAATTTGGCCAGCTGACTCACCTTCCCAAAGCAACACATCTGCCACGTGCAGTCTCCTTGAGACCAAATGACATTTTATGCTTTGCCGGAGGGTTGGATCTGTGAATGCAGCCTGATCTCCAGTGCAGGCCGGCTTGCTTGCTCCATTTGTGCTTGCTTGCTCCCGTGCTGCGGAACAAAGCAACTCAAAAAAGCCACCAGAAGCTGTGCTTGCGTTTGCTCCGCCTACATTCGCCTACATTTCGCCTACATTGTTTGTATGTTTACTTTAGTTGCGCCTACATCTAAAAAGCTTGATTTTCTAGATTCCTCGCCTACATTCCGCCTACATTCCCCCAACCCTCCGGAGCACGCACTTTTTTTTGTGCCCTGGCCATGGAAAGAGGTCTGTTTGCGCAGTACAGCTACGCCGATCTATCCAATGTGGATATGGATAGCTCGGCCGCGGCCCTCATCCTTTCGAAGTTCAGAAAATAAGTCCACCAAGAAAAGTTCAGAAAAGTTCAAACAAGTTCAGACCTCATCCACTCTGTGCAGGCACAAATGCCTTGTACCTGCTGCGTTCGCAAGTGTCCTGTCACCCCATCAAGTCTGTCCACCAAGACTTGAAGGATTTGACAGACCTGCAGATTGGCCATAGTTCGAACGGACAAAACCTATCTCACCTTTCGCCGTTCATATATAGGCGTGCAACGGGTCCCTTGAGCCACAAACTACAAAACATAGTCACGTCAAATAGCTCAAAAAGAACATGGGTCTTAAGTTCAACCTAAGTCGAACCTAAGTTAAATTTAAGTAGTAGGAACTAAGTAGAAAACATAAATCCAATAAGTTAGTTATAAGATCACCAAAGTAGTTATAAGTAGAGGCGAATACTTAAAATACTTATATAGTTTATAACCTACGTTATAGAACTTATAACCTAAGTTATAACTTCAACAAAAAGCCACAGCCACCTAGTACTCCACCCCAACTTCCCACGCCACCGCCCACCGAACCGGCACGGCGCCTCAGCCCACGCGTGCGGCCCTGGCCGCCGAGCGGCCGAAGCCGCTGCCGCGGGAGGTGCCGCCATCGGTCCGTATGCCCAAGGGGTGTGGAGAGGCGGAGGTCCATGAACCAATATTAGCTACCTCTAGCTACCTCTACTTGGGCTTGTTACTACTAGTAAGGCACTTGTTACTAGAAACGATGCACTTGTTACTACTAGTAAGGCACTAGTTTCTACTAGTTTCTAAATTTGATCCCTACCAGTCCGACCGCCTGACCCAGTTTTCGGTCTGAACAACCTTCGAATACGCAGTGTTTTTGGTATGACGCATGTGTATGACCATGTCCAGTCAATGACTGAGGTCATTGACCATATATGTACTGTATATGACTCATCATGATGAGCAAAAGTGAAACTATTTGTTAGTGTTTTTCATTGTATGTTTTGAACTTCTTTCCACATCCATTCCCTAGGATGCCTGGCCCATATCCTCAGGTTAGGTCGTTAGACTAGACCGAACCCCCTGCCACCCACCCAGTCGCACCGAACCAAACGGAGGGGGGCGACTGATCATCGGTGTCCTTATTGGACTGACCTGCCCTCCTTGTCGACTTCTGGATCTCCCTTCATCAGGCAGGAGGCTCATCAATATTGATCGATCCTGTGTATCACCTGCACTCTCCGTGCCATGGAAGCACGTGGATCACCTGCAAAACTATGAACATGAAGGATTGGGGAAGTTCTTGGGGGAGTTCCTCAGGCCCCGGCACAGGTGGAACTGCTCAAGAGTTCACCGCTTTTGATGTGTTTTCTTGATCGATGGACGAAGTTCTCGTCTCATCCACTCATCCTCCACTCCAAACATGTTTGGGACTGAAACATATGCCACCTCCCTGATCCGCAGTCAAAATATGCCAGTCCCAGATGTATCCCAAGATGATCCAACTATATTACCTCGTTAGAAGGTGACAGGAGACACTGTTATATGCCGGTGCCATTGTCGGGTCCAGTCAGTCAGCCAACTAGAGCAACCCCAGACGTGTTCAGACGGCCTCCCCAAGAGCATTCCATCGGGACTGTCATCAGCCAGAGGTTGTCTCTTGCGCTGCTGCCAGGGGCCCAGGACTTCGAGATACTGACGCAAATCGGTGAGCCGTTGGCTTCCGGTGAACTGTCGAGTTGCTCTATTCATGAGTTTGTTTTGTGAGGGAATGAATCTGATCATGGTCATCCAACGGATTCTTCATTCTACAGGAGTAGTGTATATGTATATATACGTTACATAGTGATATATACATATACATAGAGAGAGACTATATAAGAGGGACGCATGAGGTTGTTTGAGGTTGTTCCAGGTTCTTCAGCCAAATCCAGACAATCCGACAATCCTTTTGGGGGGGTAAGGAACATGAACACTGCTTAATAGTTGGGAGCAGGACAGTTTTGCATTCGGTCTGGAAGACTCATGAAGTAGTAGCAAGTGCATCGCTACTAGTAACAAGAAGCTATAGTGTTATTAATTTCTTGTGTATTTATTCCACATTCCATTCGGACAGGTTTTGGAGGCACCTAACTTCTATCCAATACTCCCAAATCATGCTCCTGCCAGGTACGGCTTGGGTAGGACCCCCCCTGGGTTCCGTTCGGAAAATAGACCAGTCTACATATATTCATTACTTGGAGAATTCCCTATTCAACCCCAGGGCTCCTGTCCCACATCCTTCTCAAAAGCACTTGGGGTGGGTGGGTGCCAGAAAATTCCACTTGTACCTTCTGAGGATGTGCTTGGAACCCTCCTATATATATATATATTCAAAGACACACCCAGGAACACCCCCAAACTCGCCCATGCCTGCAACCGACCTCGCGAGCTCGTCGACACCGGGTCCCGACGCACTGCGGGAGCCCACGGCGGGCGGATCGGCGGCGTCCGCGGCGGGGCCCATGGCATTCCGGGAGCGTTCGAGGACACCGGGTCCCTTGGGGAGAGCCTTGGACGGTTCTGGTTCTGTGGCGGAAGCGCGTGGAGATGGAACACCTTGGGTCTTTAAAATGATGGAAGATGATGGAGCATGGATCCTGAAAACTGGAATCGCATGGAAAACCAATGAACACCACCCGTATCAACATCGCGAGAGTGTCATGACGTTTGCGAAAAGACCCGACGTAAACTGTTTACGTCAAGGTGTTTGATTTCGGAACGGCAGGTTCGGAACGACAGCTTCAGGGCGACGCTTTGTGTGCCTGTCGATGTTTGTCCAGACAGCTTAAGGGCCCTTGACAAGGGCTCCATCGTTGGACGCTGCCGGGTCGTTGACCGTCAGAGGGGCCGAACAGCAATCGGCTTGTTTCAAGGAAGGACTTCTCCACGTGTCGTGTGGGGCGAGCGAAGCAGGTTCCAGGAACAGACTAATACGTACTGCAATGTATACATAAATATATACGAGCACCTTCAAAGGGGTCACCAATGGAAGCCCTGCACTACTTAGGGATCTCCATTAAACACCCCTTTGAAGGTACAGGTATATATATATATAGAGAGAGAGATTGTCTCAACAAAACAAAGAACAAGTCAAATCAACAGGGAGACACCCACTTCGTAGACGGAAAAATGCATCACATCTCAGCATGCTTGCTTGGGGAGCCAGCCTTTTCTGAAATAATCTATAGCTTTAAAGCTGGCCCACGTTGACCCTCAATCAATATTGGGTAGGGAAACTGTGAGCAGTGCAGGGGAGGACTGTATTGGGCATGGCTCAAGTATTCTGGTTAGCCCGAATTGTTATCAGTACATAGTGACATGGGTGTACCCCTACAGCGAAAATGACACCATCTTTAGCAGTCAAAAAATTGTTTGTCTCCTCTCAGAGTTCGTATCCAAGTGATGCAACAAATAGACGATCCGATCCTTCGTGGATGTTGCATATCTTGTAATTCGAAGCGTCTCTACTTTCGTCCTCAAGGGTGGTACATTAGCTGAAGACATAGCACACAAACCTGTCCAAAGGGCAAGCACATCACCCTTCCCTGTAGACTGAGACTCTCTGTGTCTCTGTCTCAGTTCTTGAACCTTCACAACACCTTTCAGAAACCTCACGGCTCCGAGGAAAGCAGGAAGAATGGTTTTGCCTGCAGTGTTCCGAGCACAACTTCTCCAGGAATGAGATGTGCAGGAGCGGAACCCGGTGCGGTGAAGCTGGTTTCTTCTCGTGTTGATCACTTCGGGTGACAAGGCACTCGAAGTCACAATGGAGTTCCTGAAAAAGCTGCCTAAACAGTCTCAGTGCGATCTGAGATGATTGGGGTTTGACCATCCTTTCTTCTTTTCCCCGTAAGGAACGCAAAGTCATGACACTCCAGCGATGCAAAATGCCAACTCCGGTCATGTGAAACCTTCTGAGTGCTCGACGAATACGGTGCTCGGCAATCACCAAGATGCTGCTACACGAACCAGTTTGTTAGCTTTCGGCTAGCGCCCCCAGAGAAGCAAGACACACTATTGGAGTTTCAGTGTTTGTTTCTTTCCCATGGATGCTGAGTAGTTGCTGTGGATTGGTTCCGTCAAAACCAATGGTCTTTTTGCGGGCGAAGTAGGTTTGCTGACCCTAAAGTGTCAGGATTTAGTAGTGCAAGTCTTTTATTGCAGAGTTGGTTCCTCCCCTTGCACGAAGGGAGACAGCGTCCAGGAAGTGTGGGACACCGGCATCGCAGGGAATGCCATTGACCGAGTTGCCGATCGAGAACTTCGTCACCGGCTACCCCGTCGAGGAACGTGCCAGAGAGCCTGGATGACCCGTGCGGAGTGTGCGGATGGAAGCTTTTTCAGTGTACCGAGTCATACCAGTCATACCCCTATCCCTAGGGATCCAGTCGTACCTTCTCAGAAGGTGGGACTGGGGAGGGTCCAGGTGCCTTCTGAGAGGGTACTTGGATCCCTAGAGTATGGATCCACTGCCACCGAACCTGAGGTACGGTGAGCAGGCAGACTATTTATGTGAGCTTGGAGTGCCCAAATACTCACGCCGAGAGGAAGGCTTCGGAGAAGGCGGCCAAACCTGCCGACCTGCCGTCGGCCTCCGAGGTCCTGGAGCAGCTGAAGAGCTTGCCGCGCGACCAGCAGGTGCTCGTCATGAAGGCGACCAGCCGGTGGCAGACGGGCAGCCACCGCGTTGGGCTAGAGAGAACGGGGCTGCCAGTCCAGTAACATAGCCAGAAAGGAAGCAATGGCATCACCTGCTAAAACCTTTGTGGACATCTTTGTGGTGGGGGATGGGTTTCCCTTCTCAACATGAACCAGTGGACAAAGATTTCCAAACTGAGGGAGTGTGTGTGGTTTGTGTGCGTCTGTGGTGTGAGTGTATCCCATGAGACCTGCAATCAGTTGTACAAAAAAGAAACACTCCTTTTAAGCTATGTGTTTTGTTCTGCTGCTTGGGTAAACTCGGGACACCCTGCGAAAAAAAGGTTGTTCAACCAAAACACCGCGAGTTGTTCAGACTTGCCGAGTGGATTTTTCTGAACACGCAGGTCGGTCGGTGTGTGAGCAGGCAGTGGAATTCCTTTAAGAGACCCATCATAGTAGTTATCTCAGCCAGCAGTTGCAGTTTCAATTCATGGGAGCCACCTGGAAGTTTGTGAGGGATTGGACCCACCTGGAAGTTCTATATAGTAGGATTCCATCCAAACAGGTTTGTGAGGGGTTCCACGCCACTTTCGTGTTGTTGACTGAGCATTTCAGGTGTGTTTTTCTATGAAGACTATACCAACCCAAAGCAACCACCTTCTGTTGCTGGTCCTTTTCCAAGACCCCTTCCATCCGCTTGTTTCCAAGACGATTTTTTTTTTCAATGTTGTGCGGTTTATGAACAACGCTTGATTATGTAATTTCAATAAGCTTAAGACAAGCAAACAGGTTTTCTGGTCATTTAAAGCGATTGTGTCCTCAAATTGTCCAAACAACCAACACAAGTTGCTTGTTTCAGGCTCGAAGGATTTCCAGCGACTTTTTAAGATGTGTTTTCACATTTCACGAACTATAAATCCTGAGCCCAAAAATATCAGCGCTCAGAAGTTCTTTTGAACGGTCGTAGGGAGTTTAAATTTTGCACAGGGCAGCCGGAGAATGAGGCCAAAATGCACGAACAAAAACACAAGCCTGATCTAGAGACTACATATAGCCCAAGTGCCGGGACAAAAGATTAGAATCAATTAAATCATGATGTGATGCTGCGCTTAACTTTGAACATTGAGGTGGTCTAGCTCAGCTTGTGAACACACAGGACCCAGTACCCCTTTTCGTGGTGCTCACGAAAAGCAAGACTTCAGGCCGACCGTAGATAAGACCGACTCCAAATGACCCAAAGCATGTGACATCATTCCCAATTAATTAGTTGCTTTCATAGTCGGTTTTTCAGCGCAACAAACAGTAACTTCTTACTTCTTACCCCAAAAAGGACCCACCGAGAGCAGCGATTCAGATGGGGGGACGGCGAAACATGCTACGCCCCTCGGCCGTCAGGTCGGAACCTTGAAAGGCGCCAACGACGTGAATGCGGCGCCTGGGACCAAACGAGGGGCGCCCAGGGCGCCAATCATGAGAGGTCTGTCGTTCAAGAAAAAACTTCAGATTTCGCAATGCTACTAAAGAATAGTTACTATAGTTTCATCTAGCTTCTATATAGCTACTACTAGTAATGCCAGGAGCTACTAGCATTCTTACTTGTTACTATGTATACGGTTCAAGCTTCGAGCTTCGTCACCCTCGAACACTCTCCAGTTCGTTCACTGGGACCCCCTCGCAAACGCTTGTCGACGGCGACGTTTGACGTGGCGGGTCCCCGGACCACGCGGACCACGCGGACCACGCGACCCGGGGCTCCTGGAGTCGACGCGGGTCACTCCGGAGTGACGGAATGAGTTGTAAAACGAGGGGTGGCAGGGTCGACATGTCCTGCAGGTGAACGACAGGGGGAGAAACATGCTTCTGAACATGTCCCGTTCCGGTCACGCTGCGCTGGTTTTGGATGGACGCCTTTTGGGCGGTCCTAATCCGGTTCAGAATGCAGATGTCCAACCATCTCGGATTCGTTCGTGCCTGGTACAGTACCGGT